ACCCTCTCCTTGATGATCTTGGATGCTATTTGGGGGGGAACTCACTCAAATTTCTTCACTCGCTCTTCTTGGACAACTATCTGAGCTTTGATCCTCTAAAGCCTCAAAAACCACATGATGGTTCTGCAAAGACTTTTCCCTATTGCAGCCCAGGACAGATGGGGTGTCCCAGAGCCAGAAGTGTGGGATTTATTACTTAGGAAAGAAAAAGACTCACTAAAGCATGAGACTAGGTACTGGAACTCTTCTGTACCTCTCTTTAACACACTTTGACAGTCACTGCTACTAACCTTTTTAAAGTGCCTTCCAGGTTTAACTTACCAGTTTAAGATATCCAAGATGTGACTTTCAGAAGTGCTGTGCACTAAAAATCTCATTTTCCCCTCTAGTCCCACCTTGGAATTACTCCTCATTAGTCTTGCATAGATTTTCACCAGCATCCTCTGTGCCACAATCCTGTTTACTGCTCCTACCCAATGCTTTCTTATATTGGCAATGACCTGAAATCTCAGCAGAGTCTGCTCTGATCCAAATTGCCAGCAGGTCTCAAAAGTTTTCTAGCATCTTTCTGTTTCAGAATATGTCCTAATGCTGCTGGCAACAGAACAAGTGAGACTTGGAACTTCCCTTGAGTGCTAATCACAACTTACAGTTGCCTCATTGCAACTTCTCTCACTTCTTACATCCCATTTTAATTCCGCTGTGTAAAACCTTACCATGCCTTTCCGTTTCCTTCTGTGGAGGCACACATGCACACTTATGCAAAGCCTTATGTCAAAAGAGACTATGAAGTCAATGCTTGGTTAGGCTATGTGGGAATTAGCATTGCTTCTGCAGCTGTAATTTGCCCCCTTTGGTGTGTATATATTGTGATTCAATTTTTAATTATGTGATTCCATATTATTTTTCTGTAAGACTTGTCCCATCCATCACCAGTGTATACTGTGCCCCACAAACAAAGCAAGGATAGGGACTGAAAGAAGCTGTTGTAGAAACTGGAAAGTGCATAGAGAACAAAGAGACCACTGGAAGAAGAATAATGTCTACAAGTTGAAGTTGAATGCTACACTGGAGAATTAAATTCCATCCTTTACTTTGCCAGAGAATTCCTATGTGATTCTAGAAAATCCATGTACAGCTGCAAACTGAAGTCAGTGGTTTAGCTTTTAATGGTAATGTGATATAGAATATTAAGTGCTTTATAAAAACTCTAATCCCAGACATCTCATCTTGGACACCAAAACAACCTTACCTTAACCTTAGTCTTTTGTGTCTCAAGTTTTCATTTAGAAAATGCAGATAATAGCTGTCCCTTGTGTCAGCCAGCAATGTGAAAATAAGGGGGTTTTTAAATTTTTTACTGTAGTGGTGATGTCATAAAAAGACTGAAGAAATTTTAGTAATTTTCTACTCTTAGCAGAGCTGAAATAGCATGAAGTGATAGGATGCAGATCTGCCATCAAGTAATGAGGCTATAACAAAATATTAAAAAAATCACATGCTTAATGAGAACCACTCACCCTCTGGGAAAAAATAGTATGTGTTCACATCATTACAGGCTGTATAATACTGCATGTACTAAAGGAAAATTGCAATTGTACAAAACCCCTGAATTCTGCTCTTTCAAAAGAAGGGCTTGATTTAAGGTATAAAAATGGTCTGTGGTGAAGGAGGTAAACAGAGGATTATACTTGAGTCATTGACTTGTTTTTAACAAAGCACTCCAGAAAAAAGGAATCAAAATTCCACCATCACAAGGCTCATCAGCAGAGTTGCTATAATTAGATCTACAGCACAGTCCTTTGCCACTTGTGCTAATGAAGTGTTTGATAACAGTAGCAGTAGACTGTCAGTATTTACAATAACTGACCCAACAGAGGAAGCTGGGTAAGCAGTGTACTACTAACACTTTAGTCAGGCTTAACTCCAAACTGTTGCTAAGGCTTGACAAACACAGAGCAGAGACTCTTTTCTGGTATTTGATTGCCTTAACCAGGAGCTGTAATGTCAGGTAATATCCTGTTTAATCTCTGCAGTCCCGCAAGGTGATATGCTTGCTCTGGAGGGCTGGCTCCTTCACAGGCCTGTCATGCATTGCAGCTTGCTCACAGGCTCACCACAAATAGCTTTCACTGATCTTAGAGTGCTGTTCTCTTGAATACACTCTATAAGAGATTAAAGATTCCCAGATTTACATGTGGTTTTTATGAAATAGGAAAAAGCACCTAACAGAAGCAGGCCTTGCCTTATTTCAGGCTGTTGTTCCCAGTCAGATGCACAGGAGAAATAATTGTATTTGTGCTTAATGACACACAGTTCTTCCTAAGCTTGATGGGAAATAGCCAATGTATTTTAGCAGAAGCTTTCAGACTAAATACAGCTTAAGACATTGGCTTTGAAAACTTCAACCTAGAGAGCCAAGCTATAACACAGCTGAAAAGCAGAAGACAAAGGTATATTGAGTGCACTTACAAATGATGGGTGCCACCTGCAAGAAGTTACTGCTATTAGAAGGCTAAATTTTGCTGCTGAAGTTACAGGGAACAGCCCTTATTTTCTAAGGTTCTGGCTCAGAAGGAAGACCCTTACTTCTGCTGCAGCCCTTTGTAGAATTACTTCTGATTTTCTAGGCACTTTTCCTAGTTTAAAAAAGGGCTGTGGTGCCTGACAAGCTTTACATTTCTGTAAGCATTTACTGCAGCACTTCTAAGTGATGCTCAACAGTCTGTGTACTGCTTCCCCCCTCCTAGCTGTAATCACTCTAAGCTTATCAACAAGCCTCTCGAGTGGTCAAGTGGGTGGTGTTAATGGGCTGGATGGGGAGATGCATCCATTTAAAACTTCACTCTTATGAAGATGTTAACAAGTATCTAGCTGCTAAGAAATCCTGATACCCTGCAGTTGTTATTAAAAACTGAAGATTTGCATTAGATAAAGGAATTATGAAAGCTTTGTAACAGGTGGAGATTTTGTGGTTAGAAAATTTAAATCTGTTGCTCACTGCATGTTCATTTTGGACTCCCGCTCTGACACTTCCAATTCCACAGCCTGTCTGGACCTCTAGGGCTACCTGTGACCCATCCTTCCTTACATCTTGCTTTGGGCTCTGGTCTTTTAGTACCTTCTGTTCTAGAAGAATTTCAGCTTTGATGCCCCAAATGCTGAATCCAGAACTTTCATCTGATGCAATGATAAAGTAAGCAGTGACCTGTCCCAGCCGAGCCTGCTAGGGAAGCCAGGCTAAATAAAAGAAGATGGGTGTGAGCCTGGTGGGAGGAACAAGTCAGAGAAAGCAAACAGTTTGCTGCCTTTATCTTGCCGGTAGCTTTCATCAGAGCTGGCTGAGGAGGGGGAGGCGGAGAACTGCCTGTGTGAAGGGAAGGAAGTGACAGCGTAGTCATTAGCAGACTGCGACCCTCTGTCACAAGGACTCCTGAAATAAACGATGATTGTATTGAAGCATGAGGCTGGATAGAGACCTCTGTGCTAATTTAATAAATTGCTTGCATTTAGGACCCCAGATTGTTGCTGTTACATTTTTGCCATGTGATGCCACCTGGGATTAACAAGGAGGAAGGGATGGGGGGAAAGGAAGAAAGCAGCTCAGGTCCGTTAGCAACTACTGGTGTGACCTCACTCCTTATCCCAGGGGGGATATGAGATCATGAGAATGCCAGAGCTCTCTGAAGGATTCGATTTGTTCAGTACAGCAGGATGGCCTGCCGAGTGATCTCATCTCTGAGACTCTAGGGAGGGGCGCTAGCTGCTGCTAGCCTCATGGACTGCAGAGGACTTAATCCCCACTCCAAATATCACCAATTAACAATTGACCTGTGATGACATCACTGATGACAAAGCTAACAGGGACAACACAGCAAAATTCCAGGGGAATTTCCCCTTCTCAGTGATCTTATCAAATAAAAGAATTTTGACATGTCAAAACCAAATCTTTCAGTCCAGATAATGTCATTGTGGATTAAGTATAGCTCTGGGCTCACAGCTTGCCCTGACCTAGTGCCCTGTCACCAGTTCCCCCTTTTAAACAGTGTGGAACAGAACATAAACAGGTCCTCATTAAGACTAAAATTAGATAGCCTTATTTAGCCAGCTTCTTAGCTCTAGTCTTAGGTGCTTTAAGGCAGAAATTACGTGGTAAGAAAAATCCATTTCGGTTGTTGCATCTCATGGTTGTAGTAAGCCAGGAGGGAGTTTAAGTTACCTTGCAGGTGTCCTTCAAGGAAGGAAAGCTTTCTAATTGGAGTGAACACCAGAATGGCAAGGGCAACTTTGGTGAAGGTTTACAAAGGATGTTGCACATTCTGTGAGTCTTAAGAGAGAAGTGTTTCAACCAGCACGCTTCTCCCCTTCCCTCCCCCCTCTTTCTTCCTTTAGGTCCTCAGGAAGATTTGGTATCTCTGAGTTTAAAATGCCTTGAGGGTTTTTTTTTTCCCCCCAGAGCCAGTCTTTTTATCTGTGTATTGTACAGGATCCAACACACACCTGAGTGGAAGGGTGCTGGCAAATAGGTAATTAATGATGATCTAGAAAGTTGATAGAAAGGCTAATGTCATGTTACATTTAAATATTCATACCTTCAGAAGGGGGTATAGGATCAAAGAGACTTATCTTGCATTCCTTTTCTTATTATCTACATCATATTCATCCCTGTAAGTCTTAACCTCTGGCATTGCTATCCTTCTTTAGCACTGTACAGATACACAACAAGGTTCATATTCATAACCTGCTCTAAAAGGTTAAGATTCAGAAGTGTAGGATAGCTGGATGAATGACAGAGCAAGAGGAATGCTAAGAAACACTAAAGTGAGTTATCCTTTCTAGGCACAGAGTTAAATGGCTGCAGAGAAAGCTGCATCTTTGTACCATTTGACAGAGTGTGTAGGTGGACAGTGAACACAAATCCTATAAGCTTCAAGCCCTGCACCTGTGAAGTGCTACTTTTGACTTCCTGATGGTAATCTTGTATTACTTTTGTTTTACAGGGCAAGTTTTATCTTGTTATTGAGGAGCTGAGCCAGCTGTTCCGCTCCCTTGTCCCTATCCAGCTATGGTATAAATACATCATGGGAGATGATCCATCCAGCAGCTACTTCCTAGGCGGGATCCTGATCATCCTGTATAGCCTCTGCAAGGTGAGTACCACCTCATTAGTAACCTCTATGGGAGATGTAGCAAGAGCAGAGAAAGAAGCACAGCTGAGGGGAACAAATACACCCTTTGATTGTTGCTATCACTATCCAGGAAGGGAAGCTGCAGCAGCTGGGGACACTGTACTTTAGTTGCCAAAAGCATTGTGCTTCACCAGTATGTAGGCATTGGCAAGCTAGAGGAATATCTGACTGCTCATGTAGTGTTGCATCAGGCTAATGAAGTCATTGCTGCTTTCTAGTACCTTTCTATAAAGGCTAGAGGAGAATGGGAGTGGAGTCTTTGAGGACCAGTACTGGAAGAGATGAAACACTGAAAGGAAGGTTGCAGACAGTTAAGTGTTTCTCTCAGCCTTCCTCTGTCTTGCAAGGCAGGGTAGGTACTCTGTCAATCAGTGCTGAATGCAGCGGGGGGAGAGAGGGTCATACAAGTCCTGCCTAGATAAAACAGGTAGTTCTCACCCCATTCTAGGTCCTGATCTGGCCTAGGACCAGGATCTCAGTGATGGACAAGAGTAATTAATGTTGTCTCAAAAATAAGAATGTTAAGAACACAAAGTCTGCTTGTACAGTTGTAAATGAATAGATGTGTGTGACTTATTTAGAAGAGCCCCAAGTCTGAGGTCTAGAAATAGTTGTATTTCTACTTGTGTAGAACCTTGCCTAGGAGCAGAGCAGTAGCTGAAGCAAACAATACACCTATGTCATCCATCCCTCTGAGAACGGCCAAGTGAGTCAAGCTTGCTGCAGCCCCGATGCTTGTCTCTGCCTAGGAGGAAGGGACTATGGCTTTACAGAAGCAGACTGAAGAATAAAGAGGAGAGAATGTATCAGAGCTGAAAACAACTTAAAGGGGCTAATGGATTGCTGAGCAATACAAACTCATACTATAGCTCTTAAGTGAGATGTGGCTGCAGTTGCAGCTATGTCTTGTAAAGGAATGGGGCAATGCAACTCCTGCTGTCAAGGAATTTACAGTTTTTGTAGGCAAGACAGGCAGAGGTCATGGGAAGTAAAGTGACTTGGTCACAGCAGGTCTGCAATCAAGCCAGAAACAGAGCAAACATGTCAGAATAGAAGGCACGAGACCAGTGTTACTCGCTGCACACCCATCCGTTCTCTCAGCTCTATGTTTCCTGCTCTTTACTCTGTATATGGGAGAAGATTGTTGTCTGTCTCAAAGATGTCGTTGCCTGGATCCCCTCTAGACAACAGCATCCAACCTTTCCAGCTTGTGAGGTCAGGTATACAAATCACAGTTAAAAGGACAGATTTCAAGTTACCTTTCTGGTGTCCCTTCTTGCAAAAGTTGCTCAGCACCTGGAGAAGGGATACTTACCTGCAGTTCTGCATGTCATTTCTTACATCTGGAGAAGTCATCATAGTGTGAAGAAGCAGTAAGGGCCAGCTGCTCCTTGGAGTAAGGGGAGCCAAGCACAAAACCACACCTGGCAGGGCAAGGGCCTCGCCAGCCAGGGCCCAGCCCCACAGCACTCCAACAAGGCAAGGCCTGGAGGTGATAGCCAGGATCTTCAGGTGGTGAGGCAGGTCCAAGATAAAGCCAGAACATCAATCCACAGGTCACAATCAGGTCTGGTGGAGGCAGCCAGGGTCAGACATAGTCCAGCAATTGCAGGACATAGCCACAGCAATGAGGCAGGCTCAAGATGAGGGTGGGAAGTCACTCCATGTGCTGCAGCATTCAGGTCAGTGGGATCTGTAGCTAGGCCCAGGCATGGCTACAGCCAAGCTGGAAACTAGCACTTACACAGCTCAAGCAGAAGCTGAGGCTTCTAGGGCTGAACTTAAATAGAGCTCCTGGGCCCATGGGCAGGGATTGTAGGTAGGGACCCCAGGTGAGGCTTGTCAGGGTCATGGAAGCTTGTTAATGCACTCAGGGCCTTGACCCATAGGTGCAAGCAGTTCTTGATGGGCTAACTTGATGTTTCTCTACTATGAAGCCTTATAGGTAGTGTTGCAATAATTAGATTGGAAAAGCAGCCCCATTTTGAAAATTTCTGTTGATCTGTTACTTAGAAGCTCCATGAGAAGAGGGGACAGCTGTCTCCTGGCCTTGACTATAACTTAGGACCAGGTCTGTGGAGCAGACTTGTGTGATAGTGTCTTGGCTACAGCCTATGCTTTTAACATATGTGTTTCTTCCTTTAATTGCTCTAATTCATCAGAGGTGTAAATGGATGGATAGGCCAGCTGAAGGGTGGTAGGTCCAGGAACATGTCCCAGGTCAGTCATTGGGTGGCAACTACTTATTACCACAGATGTGTCCAGGTTAGGATTAGACCTCTGCATGTTAGAGACGTTGCTTGGAAGTAAGAGAAAAGTGGAAGCATACTCTTCAATACAGATCATGAAATACTAGGTGCATGCATCCCATTTACAATCACAGGAGTTGCAGGTCTAATTCCTTGCCTGAGACACTGAAAATATACCCAAAGGAGTCCACATTAGCAAAGCCACAAACCACATTAGAAAAACCACAGAAGCCAATTTGGCACTCAGACCTTCTGTGCTCCTGGCAAAAATCCAGGGCTCAGCTAGGGCTGCATCCCACAGGCTCGACTTTCAGAAGGTTGTATGTAGTGCAGCTAATGGGAGCTGTCTTGGTGTCTCTGTCTGGACTGTGTAAACATGAACCTCTGATTTTGGCAAGGACATCCCAGATGTTCATTAGTAAGGGCATCCAGGTCTTACTTTTCCCTGTCCTGAACAGAAGCACTCACTGGCTGTGAACCCAATCGTTGTAATCCTTTTGCTAGAAAGATGACTGATGCAACATAGACTTCAGTGATAAATGGATGTTAAAGAGACTACTGAAACATGCACCTTTTGGGGGTACAGGAAACTCCAGAGGAAAAAACATTGAAGGGAGGAAATGGACTGGGAGAAGAGGAGACATCACAGCCAGAGCAAAGGCATTAGAAGTCACGCTATAAGCAAAGCAACCAGAAGCAGCTGTGAATTGCACTGCAGGAAAGAGCCGATCCCTATCCTTGTTAGAAGATAAAAAGTCTGTAGTAGTCAGCGGCCTCAAGTGCTAGTTGCTGACTGGAAGCATTACTGGAAGGACCCTTTCTACATGCTGACTGGAAGCATTATTGGTGCTTTCATTTGATTCCACATCTATTGCATGATGATCTCATTGGCATTCCCTGCAGTGAGCCCACTTACTCATGCTAACAAAAAAAAAAAAAAATAGCCAACTCCAGGCATTCTGGTGCCTTAGTACTGCTAGTCCGCTACAGCTCTGCATATTCTGCATCACATCTTCCCTTACCCTCACTCAGACAGATTAGAAATGAAAAGATCCTGTTATATCATCTGGTCCCTCTCCCAATTAATGTAGGGCTGTTCTTTGCACAATCATTCCTTCATATCTTGTCTAGTTCATAGTGTCTTTCTCCCTGTGTCCTGTCAGATAGGGAAGATGAAGCTGGCATACCAGATTAGGTTTTTCAAGTTGTTTTCCCTTTTATTAGTAATATCATGTCTTCACTTTAAGAATGCTGAGTGTGTTCAGCCCCTTGATATTTGTAGGCAGTTTATCATCTTTTCCCCCCACTTTTGTACTACTCAGCCAAGCTGTAAATATTTATGTCTTTTAGTCTCTTTTCAGAAATCATTTTCTGCAGGCTTATTTTCTGCTCTTCTCTGAACTGCTTTTAGTCTTTAATGAGGAGCCCAGAATGAGTGCTGCTCTCCAGATGCAGTTACATCATGTTTGCTGGGCAGTGAAGGGAGGGGGGAAGAAAAGGACCTGGTGTTGTCCCTGCTGTGGGCCATCTTCGGGCGTCTGCAAAGTACCAAGGTGCTGGAAACTCACTCCCTTCCAGGCATGTGAAGTTTCCCACTCTTTAAGCGGATGGGAGCAACTCAGCCTCAGTCCTGCTTCTCATTCCTCAGCTGTTCTTTTCTTGGTAGTATTGAACCACTGCACTCCGCTAATTCACTCTCCGCAGTGGGACAGCAATTCCCATTCCTTCCTTCATAATATCATCTGGGCCCTGAAGTGTCAAGCTGTGTGGCAGAGCTGCAGAGCCTTGGAAATCCCCCTTTTCCCCAGAGGCTGAGGAAAGCCATTTTCTGCCTCTTCCATGTGAAAAGACTGCCCTTCCTTCCCTCTTTCTCTAAGCTCGCCGCAGTGTTTTCTAACCTCACTCCTGGGCTTTTCAGGTACTCAGTTCTCAGGGTGGGAATGGGTCCATTTTAGCCCTTTCCTACTTAGCAGGGCTGGGCAATTTACCCTACCCCATGGGTCTTGATGTCTCCTTTCTGTCCTGTAATGTCCCTGATATGCAGTCCATTGTTACCAGAGCTTTTTTGGCTGCCCTTCTGCACTGTCAATTCTCATTTATTACATACTTCATGATCACCATGAAATCTTTTTTGGCACCGTTGTTACTTAGAATCTTTCTTCCCTCCAAGTATCCATTTGGAGACACTGTTTTCTGGACTGTACACACACACACATGCATGCACACACAAATTTTACATAAAGTATCTAAAATTAAATGTCTTTATTGCAGTCTTTTGACATCTGCGGTCGTGTGGGAAGTGTCCGGAAGGCACTGAAGGTCCTTTGTACCCCACAGGTAAGTAGTCAAATGTATTCGAGCAATTTCTCAGGTGGAACCTTGTTACTATTGAATGATGGAGTTGAAAATTGCTCCATGTATCAGGATCATAGAATAAAACAATTTGTTTTCCATTGGCTGGATAAGCTGGTGTCTCTTGTCAGGAATGTTAGGAACCTTTTCTGGTATCTGCCCTGTCCCAGTGATGGTAAGAGATAGTTGCTAGTCTGGCTCATTTTGTCTGATTGGAAGTCCTGTGTAATGTGGATTAATCCATTGAGGCCAAAACTGCAAGAAGCTGACAAAACCTTGTAGTGCAGAATGTGAGAAAGACTTTAAATAGAAGTATGTAATGTCTCATGTGCAATGACATGAAAAGAGATCCTAGAGTGCACAGAAATTATCCCAGGCATCGCATTATGCATTATATTTAGATCTGTTGCAATGAAATACTGTGACTTACATTTTAACATGGTAAAATCAAAAACTGTAGAGGAAAGGGACATAACATCATAGAAGTTTGTTAGGGCTTGCCTTGCATATTCTGTGGGCTTGGGCTGGTCATTTTTCCTCAGCATGTTTCCATTTCCCCTATTACTGTTACAATAGGAGAAGCAACGTATTTAAAAAGAAAAGTGGGAAGCCTGTGGGTGCTGCTGCTGTTATTCTTTCTTCTATTGTCTAACTTGCTAATAACAATACCTCCCACTATCTAAACACCTCTGCAAATGATGCTGAATTAATCCTTTCAACTCCCTGTTGAGCTCATTAAATTTCATTATCATTGCTCCACAAGTGGAGGCACTAAAAGATGGAGTCAGCTCGAGGGGAAAACAAAACAGAGAACACAGAGCTCCAGACTCCCTGTGTTCTGTGTGCTGGTCCCCAAATCTCCCTTTCCCGTACACAGTGACGTAACACCAGTGTCCTTCCCCGGTCATGCAGGGAATCTGGGTGTGAAAAACAGTGTCTATGTGTATGCTTAGCCACAAACCAGATTATCTTCAAACCCTTTGACACTGGGATTTTTTCCCACCTCTCCCTAACAGACCTATGGAGTTCGTGCTACCAGCCAGCAGTGCAGTGAGGCCGGTGACATCTGTGCCATTTGCCAAGCAGAATTCAGGGAACCTTTGATCCTTATGTGCCAGGTAACACCCCAAGCTTCCCACGTCAGGTTGGGCATTCATTTGGTTAACTTCTGCAGCTGGGGAGAGCCACAGTTGGCCTAGGTACTTCCAAAATCATTTGCTGGGTCTTGATCTAGGTCCTAGTGGATATTTATTGCTTTCTTCCGGATAGCCAGTGATTCGTGATAGCTGAGCCACTCTTTAGGGGCTGATCATAGCTATTGAGATGGAAAGACCAGCCTTGTAGTCCAGGGATTGCCAGCTGGCAGTCCAGAGCTTGGATCTAGAATGCAAGACATCTTTATCTGACCCTTGCGGAGGCTGGCTACTCGACAGGCCAGCTGACTGGTGCAGCACCGTGTAATTGTGGTCTGGCCTCTGAACACCTGGTCAGGAATAAAAGTAATTCTGTGTAGAGAAGTTGGTCACTGCTGCCAGCACCTGGGAATTGTCCTGTTTCTCAGTTGGAAAACACTGGCAAAACCTAGAGCTTAAGGATGGCGTGCTCCGAGTAATGCAGTAGTCCTAATCCGGTGCTGGTAAAACCCTTCAAACGCACCATGCTGCCGTGGGTTCTGTTAATATATCAGAGGCCAGCTGAAGGCATTGCCCCGTGGCAAGAGTGGTGATGCTTCCCCAAGATTTTCTCTTCAGTTGCTTATAACTTGGTCATGCTGTGTCTGTTGAGGTTAAAATGCAGCATCCTGGAGGTTGTCTCTGCTGATGTGTGGGTGCATGCAGGAAAACCTCAGCAGAATGATTCAGCCATTCCTGGGAATGGAATTGTTGGGATATATGCTCTCTTGTGATAGCAAAATAAAGCTCAAAAGCCTTTTGCTGAAAAGCTTTAACATTCCCATGCTTTGTAGCAGGGTTATCAAAGCAAGTAGGGCAAAAGTGCCTCTACTTTTCCTGTGAACATCTGTGCAGATGTTATCAAGCTGGAAGCCCCAGAGAAGCTATCTTTGTATGTGCTTATCAGAGTTGAGGTTTTGATGAGTAGCATTTCTACTGACTCCACACATGAGGTCTCAGCTTCTTACAGCTTCTAATACTCCCTTCTTGCCCTATTCCTTTTCTTCCAGTAAACGAGGTTGTGTGCTGGACATCTGTCCCTCCTGATCTCTGTTAGTACCCAATGCAGTCTAGGGGGAGAATCTTGTTGTGGTTCAGTGTAGAAATGAGAGGAGAAGATAAGGGCTGAAAACTGATGTTTATGGAGAAGGGGAAACAGGGGCTGTGAAGCTACTGACTGGGACTGGGTGGTGTGAGCAGCAAAAAACAAATGCAATAAGGAGTAGGGAGAAGAAAGAGGGTTGTTTGAGTGGGTACTGCTAACGGGCTGCACTGTCCACCTGAACTTGAATCGTCACTTGCTTCTTTTGAGTCACTGTCCTGTTGAGTGTGTACACTTAGGGACAAGACTGAACCTCCTGCCCTCATGGTGACAATGCCCTTTTGTCTCCACAGCATGTGTTTTGTGAAGAATGCCTCTGCCTCTGGTTTGACAGGGAGAAAACCTGTCCTCTTTGTCGTTCTGTCACAGTAGAAACCCTGCGTTGCTGGAAAGATGGCACCACCTCTGCTCATTTCCAGGTGTATTAAAACCAAGACATACCGACAATGGAATAACATGTGTGGAGACAAGAAGAAGCTGGGAAATCTGGTGACCCCATGCCCCTGTTTAGTTGCCTGAGGATTTGTTGTCTTAGTCTTTCTTCCAGCTCTGTTTCTCCAGGAGCCAACAGAACAATTGTTACTAGTCAAAAACTTTATCCTCAAAGGCAAGGAAGATGTGTTTTATGTTACAGCAAACTCCATGGCTAAGCTACAGCCGAGTTTTTCTTGAACTTACGTGGTTATAAACTGCCTGGGATGTTTCCTTTCTTTCTGTCCTTTTAGTATATATAAATACTGTGTGTAGAAGGAAGGCTTACGGTGATTGCATGTGTATGACTTGGTATACTGGAAAAAAGCTTCTTAAACCACTGCTGAGATTTTTCACATTAAATGGCCCTAGCTTCTCTGAATCTGTGATTTCATGGAATTACGCTGTTGCTGTTACATTACCTTCGAGAACTCTTCCAAAGCAGTGCCTCAGCACCATGTGCCCAAAGTTTATTTGGGGTTGGAGAAAAGTAATTTCCCAGCAGCCGTGTTTTTGCAATTGATTCCACAAATTGCATGTGTTGTCATCTTAATGAAACCTCGAGGAACTTGGGGAAGACTGTGCTAGTGAAGCTGGAAATGCCACTTGCTTTTCTTGGGAATGTTTTTTCTCTTTAATTTTTATGATCAGACTTTCTGATTTCTTAGCATATGGGGAGAACAGTGGGAGGCAGGGAGAGATTCAAGTCAAGTTTGATTTGTCTAGGTGAGAAGTTAAGGTCCTAACCAAGAGCATCTCACAAATTCAGGACTCTCTGCAATACGCTCCTCAGCGCAGCCACTTGAGGCAAGGCTTACTGCCTTTAGAGACCAGCGCCGCTCAGCATCCAGAACCCGCCTGGCTCCAAAACCAGAAAAAAAGTGCTCACGCAGCACTGAACCCGTACAGCACTGCTGATATGGAAACACTGGGGCATCAGGACCCGGGGCCCCCTGGAGAGGCTGGGTTTAGAGAGACTTGCTGGCTCGAGGGCAGAATTATACAGAAGCAGCTGCATTGCTTCAGGAGCCAGCCTGGTTTATACACAAGCTGGATAATCCACCTGTGATGGCAGAGACTTGATGGTAACACCCCTGCTTCAGAAAAAGCTACCTTGTATTGTTAACGGACAAATTAACATACTTTATATTGCTGCAATTTCCATCTCTGCTGAGGGTGCTGCAGTGGCACTCGCATGCAAATGGAGTTGCTGGAGCTTTCTCTTTCGCTAAACAACCTCTGCTTTTTGCTGCGCGCCCAGAGAAAGTGCCTCATTAGGCAATTGTGGCATCTTCCGCACTCATTACTATGGAAATGGCCGTAAGGTTACAATCCCGCTTGAGTGGATAATCAGGAAGAACTGTACCTGGGGGAAATGAGCCTACGTGTATGTACTGACTGCCGCCTTCCCCTCCTGCTGTGGAACTCCACAGGGAGAAGAATTAAAGCAAACAGGAGCTAATGGTAACAGGATTAAGGCTCAACATTTCTTTGGAAATAATAGTTAAGTATGGCTAGAGGAGAAATGATGAGAGGCAGAGCGTGAGCAGGGAAGATAGTCCAAAGCTGGCTTGAGAGATACAGGGAAGTAGAGGAGGAAAAGCTTCACTTCCCAAAACAAAGTGATTTGATTCTTGTCAAATGGATCCCACGAAAGTGAAAACCTAAGCCAAGGAATCCAGTGGCTATCTCCAGTGGGAACAGCCTTTTTGGGATGGGGAGGAGAGCTCAATAAGGAAGGAAACCAGGTTTGCAGTGGGCATAAAAATGTTACGTACGATAGTCTGGTATATTCACCAAAATTACTCATTCTGTGGGCAGACAATTTATGAAAGGTTTCAGCATCAGTTCTAAGTGCAATGCCAATTAATTAAAGGGATGGTGGTACCTGCTTTCAAAATGTTTGAAAAGGCACTTTCTAATTCTGATATTTTTTCTAAATGCTCCTGGAAAATGTATTTGGGGAAGTGTACGAAAAGGTCAATGTGAGCCTCACACTACAGATAGCATTTGATACACTGTTTCAAATTTTTTTTTTTTTTAATTTGGTGATAGGAAGGACAGGCAATCAGAAGGAAAGTACGGGGAATAATTTTGGCATTCTTGTAGTCCTTTTTCTTTCCTTTTTTTTCTTTATCGAATGATCTTTCCCATTTGGCATTGTGAGTAAGAAAGAGGGGACTATCATCGTCATGTACTTGAAACACTTTGCTCCAGCCCCAGGACTTGGACGATCCCACAGTAAGACATCACACCAGCACACAGTGGAAGAACTGTGACATACCTCAGGGGTTTTTTGGTACCCATGTTAAAAACCCCTGCACTGGCATCATAATTTTCTAAAGAACTTCTAATGATTAATTTTTCTTTTGCTTCATCTCAGTGATCCCTTCTTGATTTTTGCTTTCCCTCACTATTATAAGGCTTTCCCTCACTATTATTCTGGTCCCTGTACAGAAGTAATCCGCTTCTCTGTTAAAATTAATTAGTGCTAAATAGAAGGTGAAATTTTATGCTGTGGGTATTTATTCTACTGGAAGCATAACAAAGATCATCTTAATTCCTGCAAGATTAAAGAATTTACTACAGGCCACTATTATATAGCTGTAAAATTAAACCGACATCCTTCAGTCCCTGTTCTGGCCTGGACACTGGGGAAGAAACAGCTCTGTGCTGTTAGCAGTCTGTCAGACCCTCCTCCTCAGTAAGTTACGGTGCTGGTTTTGTGAGGCAGGATGATTCTACCCTCTCCTGGAACGTGACGTTTGGACCAGAAAACATACAGGGGAAACTTTGGTTCTAATGGCAACTGATGCAAAACTTCTCTTGATTTCCATGGGAAAACAGGGTTGTGAAAGATACTATTCTCTCAAATTTCAGAGAGGAAATAAAAACTGGAGCCTTTTTTTGCCATTGAACAGTTATTTTTCTTTTTTTTAATAAAGTCATTATAAATATGTACAAAGAGTCTCAGCATATGAAATTCCTTTTACAAAAGAGAGAAGCCACATCCAACCACAAACAGGAGCCTTCATCAGCTCGTATCAGCAGTGAGCATATGCTTTGCTCTTGCTTTGGTGAGGGTGGAAACTTGCACAGTGACTCTGCAAGAGTTTACATCCAAATAGTACTAAATAAGTAGTGTGCGAGGAATTGTGTATTCACTGCGTTTCGGCTGTTAAATTCGGTTAGTAATGCATCTGAGAGCAGACTGGAAAATTTGCAAATGTCCTAAGGACTAAAGATGATGGGAAGATTTTTTCTTCTGATAAATTGCGGTCTTCAAATGGATTGGAAAGGTTATGCTCTGAAGACCCATGAAAACTAAATCCCATTGTAGTTGGTTTTGCTCCCTACTTGGGTGGCACCTGTAACGAATAATGGATGTCACTAATAACGGCTGTTCAATGCCCAGATGCTTTCAGTGAATATTTGTCAAGCTCCAAAGTCACTTTCTGTAAATATTAAAAAACTTGTGAAATTCAAGTACTCGAGTATTCATGCAGAGTGAATACTGAAGAAGTCTGATTGGAGTTACACGAAAAGTCACTCGTATTCAAATAAATATTGTCAGGAAAAAAATATTCACCTGGTTTGTACTTTGTAGTTTTGAATTTTTCTTGCAGATGGGTAATGGAAGTTCTGCAGCTTTGACTGGACCACTCAGCTTTTTCCCACAACTGCTAAGGTCAGAGCCCTTGTTTGGAAGACCCGAGTGCCTTTGGGGTAGGTGCTGATGGAAATTCTCCTCGTGCAGATGGCACGTGATTCAAGCCAGACGGATTGGCAGAGGGAAGAAGCACAGAAGTGTCTTAGGCTGGGAACGGGGATATACCTGTGCTGTGCACAAGGATCGCCTTTGGAATGAGAAGGCCTTGCGCCTCCGGACCAGGACAGAATTAGAAGCCCAAAGCAGGAGCAGCATGCGAGGATTCCTCTCCTCCATTCAGCTGATAGACTAGTGTTTTCCTGCGGAAGAGCAAGTCCCACGTCATTCAGACGTCCCTAGGCTTTTGGATTTCCAGCTAACATGGCCAGTGCCTCCAAATCTCTTGTACTGAGATGACCAAGTTCAGCTCAGCACAGCAAGCAGTGCCTTGCAAAGTGTGATGCAAGAATGAGGCCAATTTTGAAGCTTGGATTCAAAATGGAAAAGTTGTGAAGATACCTCTTGGAGAGGTAGAATGCAACCAGGAGGTTCTAATATGGACAAAAAATGCAGATCCAGGATTTAATTTGGAGCCACGGGTACTTTGTTGTATATAATTCAGACGTCTGTCAAGATCATGGACAGATGTCTTAAAACTGTTTGTAGGAAAATTAAATACTAAGGTAGATGTACTATGCTGTCCTCATCATGAACCATTTTGTACCTGATAGTGTAGTTTTTTAGGAGGAAAAGATGTCCTTCAGTTTTGCTTCCCCATTCTCCATTGCCCCCCAAAGAGAGCTTCTCCCCTGCCTGCTCAACCGCCAAGGACTACAGCGATGGCAGCACGTAACCAAATTGTTTCGTCTTCCGAGGCAGCAGGGAGAAGTGCCTGATTCCATGGTGCATGTGGACATAGAAACTGCACCAGTTTAACCGAATCTGTCTGTAATCCATTTCATTAGAAGGTACTGCTGCTGCTTTTGCAGTGGAGTTAAGACCCGTATAATTTTAGCATGATAGAGAAACAAAGCAAATTCACAAATCAGATTAAACTGATTTAACAAGTGTTTCTGATTTAAGTCAATTGCTTTAGTAATGGGCTTAGCTAAATTAGGGTAATTTCAGCATGTCTACATGCTCCAAAACAGAAGCATGATGGGTTTCTCATTCCTCATCACTGACAACTCACTGATTTTGGTGATTTGCTGTATGTTTTTATTGGGTGATGCCTCTCCTGGGCACATGAAAGTGTATGACAGGAGGCCTGGTTCCATTCCCTATTTTTTTTACCTACTGAAAATAATT